AAATGAAAGAAATAATTGTTATCAAGATGCGGTTTTAGTCTGTACTCATATTTGAAAAACAAGGACTTCTCTCCTTCTGAGTAAAATGTACATCTACAACTGTTAAACCTCTCTACAGCTGGCTGGCAGACAGAATACGACAAGTACATTTGACTTGCTGTGCTCTTCTCTAATAATGATGAACTTACATGTAATGCGTATGTGTCCTCTAAAGCCTCCAATAACTGTTCCCGCCAGGTGCATAGCTCTTCCACGATACTTGAAACCCAATGATCCGGGCAATCCATCGCAGTAACCTCAACACCAACGTGGATTTCATGCTGATTGGAAAATACTGATCCGACTGGAAATGCTGACAGTGCGCGCCTGAAGTTGTCTGTTCTGAAAGGAACACGGGTTCCACCGGCTCCACTAGAAAACTGGATGCGTAAATCTGGACGTCCGAATGCGGTCAGTTCGATTTTACCATAATCAAATGTCGATAAATCGGGACTGAAGTTCAAATTCACAGTTAGGCACAGCGTGGTCACTTTGAAACGGTAACGATTGCTCCAGAAATCCAGTCGGAAATCTACCATACTGAGTCTTACTCAGACACTGTCAGCTTTAAACAATCTAGTCTTGCCTCTTTGAGTGTCTCAATGTCTACCACAAAGTTGACGGTAACTTAGCCGAACCTAGGTGCGATTCTTCAACAATCCTGGCGAACACTGACATCTATTGGCAGGATTCTAAGTAGTTATAAGTGAAACCTAAGGTGACAGTCTACTATTTTGCAGTGACGCGTGGGAAGATGATAACTTGCTTTCTACGAAACTATCTCTGTCTGAGTACAAAACAACATGCCTTTTGTGTAAATGTTAACAGCCATTGTCTCTCGCCAGTTTCGCTGGGTGAGACATCGACTCCAAGTGCAAAGCTGATGCCATGATCTGCTCACACTACAACAGTGTAGGTTCACAGAGCAACAACGTACAAGGGTAGTTTGATGCAACTTGGACTTGATACAATCATCAGACATATGAATACGTTGTTGGTCATCTCTACGCTTATGCCATTAGAAATATAGGTGGTATTGGGACGTTGGTTAGCTGTATATACATAGACGTATATGTATGGGCAAGCAGTGTGAAACTGTGAGCGTGTATGCTAGGGATAATTTAGTTTCAGGCCCAGCAGTGATAGAGTATCGCAAACCTGGTGGATTGCGTAGCCAGCATGCTGTAAGGGACAGGTGCATGTAGAAACACGTCGGAGAGTGTGTAGACCTGTGAGCACCGGGCTGTGAATTCGTGCATGACGGAAACCTGGCCTAACTGTGCATGCGAAGGCAACATCTAGCTATACCTTTGACTAGCAGCACACAATCTCGCGGGTCATTTATGTCCGACGTTCTTACCATGATGGGTCAGGTGGTATTTCTTACGCTCTCGAGGATACATTCCACTGTGTAATCCGTTATTGAGAGCACCAGTCACGTGATGGTGGTGGTGAGAAGGAGAGATCTGTGCCAGAGAAACTTTCCAGCGCAAAGAGGTGTGGGCAGGCGTGTCTTACCGCCATATTGCCAAGTGTGTCTTTACCGACATATTAATGTCAGATGCATCGACTAGGCGCTATGCGCGAACTGATCGTCGGGATGGTGAGAGGGACAGCTCTGCGCCAGAGTAACTTGGCAGCGTGGCGACTGTGTGTGAGCAGTCGTGTATTTACTGCCACATTTATCAACATCATTACAGCTGCAGTGGTCATTGCTTTCCTGGATAAAGCCATGGCTCTGTGTGGTGGTGAGGTGACGACTCCTCTTGTGACGTAATGTTTGCATGGTGGTGGTTTGTTCTTAACTCTATTGTGTACGCTGTATCAGCGCTCGTTTTCGACCCAATATTCAGTCGTATTTTTTAGGCCCATTTCGAGGTGGTCTCCAGTTCCATGGTGTCCGTAAGTTATGCAACGAGCCTTTCCACATGGTTGTTGAAGAACCCATAGGAAACCTACTTGCAAATTATGAGCGAAATCGGAGGTATCGCTAAGCCCAGCTTTTCTGGTTTTCTCAGACATGCTCTTTTAAATGTATGTCAAACACAGAGCCGATTTCATGTCGGAACATGTGTGGGAGCATCGGCCGAAAAAATTGGCCTAGTTCGAACAAAGTTTCAGAAAACCTTGCTGTTTCACATGGGGTACATCTCATCAGACGTTCCAATACATGTATGAGCAAATACATGTATTAAACTGCCAAAGCAGAGCTAGTGACAAAGTCAATAACGTTACTATGGAAGAGGCAATTTGGAGTACAAAACGGATAGTCAAGCTAGTTCAATCATTATAAAATTACTCACAACTAACAGTACTGCCGTAGTGAAGCGCATTCAAGCGCATGTGCCTATATGCGGGCATAAGTGCACCCTCGCAGATAAGCTCATGGGCTTTTAATTGCACCCCGCGCCCGAGTATACTCCTTTTGTAGCATGCTCTGCTTTCCCGAGCCCGAGTATACTCGGGTAGAAAATGTACTGTATGTACAGTGAACTCGGATTGCGTACACCTCGCTATTCAAACCTTCGTAACTCTGTTATACTTTCTTCGATTCTCACACCTGACGGCTCGTTGGAAAGCTGAAGGAATAAGCTTTCCAATGGTATGTCGTTTGCTGGAGCGAAAAGTAAAATACCGGAGCGCCGAAGGTGGAAACGCAATTCACGGCCGAATTACAGGGCACAACATTTCGCACCTTGGATTTTCGAGCGGACATCGGCAGGGAAGGGACTTTCCCAATGACTCACAGGGGCACAGCCTATGCGTGTTGGGTACCAAAATGAGCGCTTGAACTTCAGGAATCTGAGAGAGTTTGAATTTTTGCTATGCGCTGAGTAAAACTGTAGAAGCGAAGAAATATGTGACTAGGTGTGGAATATCTCTTCGAGGCCCGATAGAGGAGCTCTCAACGTAGTGTGAACGCAACTCTATAGCTCCTGCTGAGTGATTCTTCCATTCGTTTGGAAAGAGAAGGCTTCAAGCTTTCCAAAGAGCCCAAGATGATCAACTTCCGTTCCTGGTTAGTGAAGTTAGAATTTTTTTAAATCACAGGGCTGCTCTGCAGGGCGATAGAGAGAGAGGCGCAGCGATCGGACTGGGAATTCATGGTTTCAGGCCTGGGTGGAAAAGGTTAAGCTCACCTAAATGCAAATCCAACCGCGACACACGGACACCACAAAAACACCATGTTCGCATAGTTTATTGTGCAGTGCGTTATCGCACTATTTGCAAAGCACCAGGACACTGGAAATTCAAGCGCATGCGCTTACATGTATGTGCGAGACAAAACGTCCCGCAAAATATAGCAAATGACGAACAAAAAAGGAAAGTTAGCCGGATTCGCGGCCGCATCACCTGACGTGACAAGCAACTACATTCGGATCGGCGGGCCACCATTTCGCCCATATATCCCTATATTAGTGTCAAATGCAGACCTCACAAGTGAGTCAGGGGAGAGGGGACAAGTCTCTCCACAAGCGGGCGTGTAATGGCGCTATAAAAGTTTATACTGAGCTTGTATACAAACTCCCATCTCTCCCCACACAACACTCCAGACTTGTATTTTGCATATAACAGGTACTTCGATGACAAGAATATAAACTGGTGTATAAACTGGTATATAAACTGGTATATAAACTCCTTTTTTTAGGGACACACTAGTGACCTGCAGTCCGCCTTGATGGTTTTTCGACATGCACGCCGGTCCCAACTTCAGGATCTCTTTCCCGTCAACGATGAAGAAAACAACGTCGTCCTTTTTGATTGAGGCTTACATTTTGCCTCCACGAAGACAAAGCGCAACATCAGATAGAACCATTCGTAATAGGTAAGTTTTACTGCGTCGTTGCCATTGGTGTCGTCGATGTCGCTGAAATAATCGTGTAACAGGTGCCTTGTGCTGCACCTGACGTTCGAGGCTGTCCTTCTTTCGCTGTTTCAGCACTCCGTCTGTCAAGCGCAGCACTCGACATGTGCGGCTGAAGAGCCCCGCGTGCCACTACTCCTGCGTTTTTGCATAGACATAGAATGCAGATAGCAGGGGCGACGGAACTTCACTACTGATGGTTTTCCAATCGATGTTCTGAGCTTGTATACAAACTCCCATCTCTCCCCACACAACACTCCAGACTTGTATTTTGCATATAACAGGTACTTCGATGACGAGAACATAAACTGGTATATAAACTGGTGTATAAACTGGTGTATAAACTGGTATATAAACTCCTTTTTTTTAGGATCACACTAGGGGAGTTTGTATATCAGCTCAGTATAAGCATAATATAACCTACTCAGTTGAATATGGGAAATATGTATCTATTATTGCACGATTAAAGAGGTCAATATATGAAAATAATAGAACGAGTAAAAGACCGAGGTCCCCCGAGGTCTTTTACGAGGTCTATATTTAATATATTGACCGATTATGAGGGCAATAATAGATTTATAACGACATAGTATACCTAAAACTGGTTTTGCTTTGCTATAGGAAGAAAGGAATACTATTGTAATAGTATAATAGTATGTACATATGCCGTTTACATTGGACATTTCTTCTGTGTAAACCGAAGTTTTCAGTTGTCTCTTGTAGTATGTTCCTCAAGTCCTTTGACTGAGAATCTGACAGTTTGGGTTCAAATCCCAGCATTTGGCTTCAGATTTTTCTTCTTTCAGTTCTGATTTTTTTCTAAGTTGAGGAAAAAGTTCTAAGTCCTCGGGCTAAGTGGTCAATAATAAGTGGTCAATATAAGCGGTCAATATATGCTGATATTTGACCGCTTAGAGACCACAAGTTTCTGTGGGGGTCAATAATAAGAGAGTGATAAAAACCAATATACAAACCTCGGCTTCGCCTCGGTTTGTATACAGGTTTATATTTCCCATATAATCAACTGGTTAGGTTATATTATATACATAACCCCATAAACCGCATCCCTTTTACCCTCACACAGAGCAAGTCAGTGCCAAGTTCACCGTGGGTGTCGGCACAGTTCATTGCATGTAAATTTGTACTCGCATGCATCAACGCGATTGAGGGAGCACTAAACACATTCCCTGTTACCAGCGCAGGATTTGAACTCGGAACGTCATGATTCGCAGACACGCCTACAAACAAATCGGCTATACGCGTTAGTAACGCACAAATGTTTTCATAAGCGCATGACCCTTTACGTCACTAATATAAATTTTAATTATGTGCGTCACTACGGCACATATAACGGAAATCAGAGCAAACGGAAAATGTCTTCAAGAAGACGAAAAAAATAACTTACATCCCATTGCAACCAGGCATAGAACACCAATCACACACTTGTACGCAGTTTATACCCCAGGCGAGGCAACAATCAGAATTAATTATGAAATTTGTTTGAAAGAGTTTGGAAAACACATGAAGTATGTTGTATGTAATGTATTCAGCAGACAATGTGTAATGTAAGAAAAAATCAAACAGCTGCGAGTTTACTGACTACGTCCAGCTATATGCCAGGAAAGTACAGTGTAATTACACACACGCGGTAGAATTGACAACACGCCGTAGAAAATGGCGACTTTGTCATACATGTATAATCAGATGACGTGTCTGTGTAAATTAAGGCTCCTCGTCTAGCTCCGTTTCAACTTTCCGAGTCGGCTTGGCAGCTGTTTACAAAGCAAAATCACACGACAAGAGAACACAAAATCATTCAATCAGTTCAAATCAGTACTCCAAGGTGTGAGGTCTACAACAAATATCAGCCTTCTGTGCTAAATCAACATTGATCACAAGCCAGAGAAATCCACCATTGCCGTAACGATGACAGCAAAGCAAGTGCTTGCAGTGTTTCGACTTCAGGCATCACAAAACATCCTGTCGTGGTTACAAGTCACTTATATCTTGCAGTGCAAATTCAGGAATCGACGTGCATGTGTGTGGCAAAACCGACAACGCACGAAACACTGTTCAGTACAGAAAATCAAAACCCCTAGTACGCAAAACAGACCCATTTGTTTGGCATATCCGGTTTCATGACAGTCGGTGATTCCGCCATACTCCACCTTTACACATTAATTTTACTCACTCGTGAACTAAAAAATAAGCACATACCTAGTTTCCGCTTCATGCTGTGTGATGAGCTGCACACATTCATTATAACCACGTTCCTTTGCAAGGTCCAATGCTGTGCGATAATACTGAGTAGCACAACAATACATCACAAACACAAACCCAGAAATACTCATTCAAAAAACGAAAGAAATTTACAATAATATCAAGAAAGTGAACGATGCAGCACAGCAAGCACATTATCGGCGATGAGAACTAGCCAATGACCTCTTGAAATAACTCAAGTGACGAACAACATCTTCCTCACTGACATCCTTGTCCTTGAACTGTATCCAAACACTTCAATTCACTTCACTGGTCGAATCATTTTAAAAAATCCCAAAGGAAACTATGAGGAGGGAAAGACATCAACATCACAGCTCTTCGTCAGGAACAAAAGCATGTCTTCCTTGTACTCCTTGCAAAAGCATCAACTCATCACTCCTTACTCGTTCCAGCAATCATAATTAATAACGCTGTCTATTCACACTACACTTTCAAAACGATCTTCAGCAGAGAGAAAGAGAGAGTCAGAGAGAGAGAGAGAGATAGAGAGATAGAGAGAGAGAGAGAGAGAGAGAGAGAGAGAGAGAAATAGAGAGAGAGAGAGAGAGAGAGAGAAAGAGAGAGAGGAGAGAGAGAGAGTGAGGGAGAGAGAGAGACAAATAGAACAGGAGAGGAAAGGCAATGATGAAGAGTAGAAACTGTATATTTAACAACACAGAATCAAATACTTACCCTGTCAAGCAGTGTTGTATCCAAGTTGATACTGTCACTGGCATGTGACAATATCACCTTGACAACGCTGATCTTGTTCCTGTCGACTGCATAGTGCAGCGGAGTCCATCGTGCCTGCAGAGAAAGCGAGAATGTGATGAGTATTGCTGTACAACCATTACACAAGAACACAGACCTGGATAACTAGGACAAACCAACAACAATGCACGTGCACACATGAACACGCATGCAGGACCACAGGCACTTGCATAAACGTGAAGAAAAACAAGTCATTGTTTACACATACATGTATGTGTACACACCTATGGACACACATTCCCACGTACACGCACATATACGTTTCCCGTTTGCGTCTGTCCTTTAAACTAGTCAATATAATACATATACATACCTACATCCATAGAAGACCACACATGAAAATACAAGATTACACAGGTTGTACCATAAACCGGTCGTTTCTGATGAACATATGCGAGTGCAGACATGAACACACGTGGACACGACGACATACGAGTACAAACGTTGAACAGATTGTCTTACAGATATACACACAGACTTGTAAAAGCACTGTTAGTCAGTTGGATCCTGATGCTGCCTCTTGTACGATAGGTCGAGGCCGTGAATCACCCTTGGGAACATGATATGTCTAAGGCGCATAATGTTCCCAACGGTCTATACAAAACTGGGAATTCAGTGGAGACAACCAGACTCTAGAATAGCACTATTTCTTACCCCGCTGGCCTGTGCGTTGAGGCAAGCACTGCGTTCGATGAGCAGTTTTGCTAAGCGTGCATTGCCTGCCTCTGCACAATGGTGCAAGAGTGTCCAGTTGTACTGAACAGATACCCACACAGGCGCACACAGAAACACACACAGGCGCACACACAAACACACACACACATACACACATACTTACACACACAGATGAACATGCACACACACACACACACATGCACACACGCACACACACACACAGACATACATATACACACACAAACACACAGATGAACATGCAGTACATTTACACCGACGTCCACACAGAGACACCAGCAAAGACGTACCCATGGGAGTGAACTAGCACAGTACACTGAAAACAGACACTGTCTCTTGTCACAATCCAAAACACAACAACTTACATCGGTCTTATCTTCTTCATTCACATCAACATACTTGAAGTCCAGAATATAGTCGACAAGACCTTGCATCATTTCGTCACTGAGATGTTCACCACAATAGCAGAGAACAATTATCACCGTGACCTATGGGAGATACAGAACAGAAGAAACAAATTCACAATTGCAACAATGACAACAACATATTGGAAAGACGCAATTATTACACCCATCCCAAAGTCGGGCAACCCCTCCCATCCTACCCAATACTGACCCATCTCCCTGGTCAGTATACTATGATAAACACAATATTAAAAATAGTCCACTCTTTTCTGTACAATCACATAGCACCGCAATTACCTCCCAAACTATCCGGCTTCAGGAAACAAGAGGGAAGTACCTCCTAACCAATCCGGCTGCAGGAAACAAGACTGAACCAAACTGCAACTAGCACGGATCGTGCACCAGATGTCCACAGCTAGGAATGCTGGGAAGCATGTTGTTGCCTCTATCTTCGACATTCGCATCGCGTTTGATCGAGTGTAGCATCAAGGCTTGCTGAAAAAGCTGAGACAGTATGGTGTCGAAGGTAAGGCTCACAGGTGGCTCGAAGCCCACTTGACAGGACGCAGATTGCGTTTGCAGGTTGAAGGCACAACATCTGCCTTCATTCCAATTCGAGCGGAGTGCCCCAAGGCTCTGTCCTTCTGTTCTTGGTGTAGCTGCCTGTGAGAATGATACAACCTCGTGTAGCCAATTCGCGGACGACACTGCACTGATTGCCAGTGCAGGCAACTACTTTGAGTGTGAGGCGGCGCTACAAAGAAGGGTCGATGCCGCAGCAGAATGGCTAGAGTGCGGCCACCTCCTAGTTGATAAAACGAAAACTGTCATACTCCCCTTCTACCATGCTCACCGACCTCCACCACGACTACCCGAATTAGAGCTCGGGGAAACTATACTAGAAACAGTACCACAGCACCGTCATCTTGGAATACTATTCGAACATTACCTATGCTGGACAAAACACGTTGATAGTACGGTATTATAGTAAAATTCCTGAAATCATTCTACTTTCTATTCCATCTAAGATCAACCCTTACCACGTCTGCTCTTGTAAGTAGAATATACTGCACGCATACTACCCCTGTACTCCTATGCAAGTCACGTTGTAAACCCTATATCCCACATCACCTTAGACAAGGTAGAGAGAATCCATCGGAAAATCCACACAATCATGCCTCCGCCTCCCTCTCTCCACCCATATTAACCACTCTGACCTTCTGTACCGCATCAAATGGCCAAATCTCTTCTCCCGCTAAGGTTAAACACATAATGTTTGTTCACTCCATCAACCATAATTACGCCCGCCTCATATTCTAATGCTCGCAGCCCCAAATCGTGCCAATTCATGCTGTAGCTTTCGGCACACTCTCACTAGTCTTGGTATTTGCCAACTGCACCGACCGACCGTTGCCTGGGGTTTCCTTGGTATAAATCTCTCCATTATTTCAAAGGCCTCTCATCAACGTTACCCGATAATCAATCACCAGCTTTGTTCAAGCAAAATATATCAACCGTGCTGCTGAATTCAATTTGCTCATGCACGAACCACGCTCACCCGTACATTTATTCTGATCACTGCTGGCCCTGAAATTTCCCCATCATACTAATCTCACTATAACCATTATTTCTTATTGGCCACAGGCCATCTTGAGAATAAAGATTTGAAACAATACTCTCAGTACAATGCCACTCGGAGTCAGGAAACCTACTGATTGATCTCAGAGGTCAAAAACCAGTCAAATTGTCATAACTTTGTTCCGGGAGACGATTGCAGCAATTCTCTCTCTCTCTCCCCCTTCTCTCTCTCTCTCACCCTCACTCTCGATCTCTCTCTCTCTCTCTCGCGCGCGCGCGCTCTCTCTCTCTCTCTCACACACACACTCCCTCTATTTCTCTCCCAGTAGCGCGGACACACACATGTGCGAACGCACATGCACACACACACACACGCACACACACACACACACACACACACACACACACACACACACACACACACACACACACACACACACACAAGATACTGTCTGTCCACAGGGCAAGTTTTGAAAGTAATAATATAGTTTGATGAGAGAGGAACGAAAACCTTTGGCTAACAATTCAACCTCTTGATAAAATATAATAAACGAAATTCTGCCAGCCTTCTTGACCCCAGCTATGTTACAGAAACAATTTCTATCAGCCATCAATCACTTGACAATGGTGCAGACAAGAAGACATCGGGTCGCCACTTGAACACGCATATGCACATACAGTTACGTGAACACACACACACACATGCACACGTCCATGCACACACACACACACACACACACACACACACACACACGTGCACGCACACACACTTGCATGTATTCATGCAGGGAAGCAAACACACAAGCACATGCACATACACATACATGTAAGCACACACATGTACACTCACACGTGCACAAACACACACACACACACACACACACACACACACACACACACACACATACACACACACACGCATACACACATACACACACATTACATAAGCACTCTACTTACTCCTAGTGTGCAGGAACATGTGGTTGTATTCCAGCTAGGTGGTGACCATCTAACTTTCTCTGCTCCTGTGCTGTGCAGGAGATGAAGGACGTTGAACACAAACGCCCATATCTCATGAATCGCTCGTCCCCTCTCAGAAACCACACCAGCAAATTGCTTCACAGTTTCTTGAAGATCTGTACCATACAAACACAAATGACATACGAATGACATTTTCACCTCTTCAGTATTGTTGGCACGTGCGCAGACAAACGTCATGACGTCATAACAATATCCCTTATTATTATTATTATTATTATCATTATTATTGTAACCAGATACTATATACACAGTCAGAAAGTGCAATAACTATGCACAAAACTGACAGAATACTGAGACATTCGACGTCCTGACACCTAGCTCCTAACTAGTATTATGTACTTTTCATTTCTACATTTTATTTATGGCTCAACATCCGAGTTTCAACTTATTATTAAAATTAATTATAAGTTTCCGTGCATGGCACGGTAAGTGAAGTTAGCAACCAACCAACAATTACATTTCCGAACAAAATTTGCACGTACTTTCCATAGCGCATCACGTGGCGGTGCACTCCAAAATCCCGCGCTCTGGCACGGGACCTCGCGGAGCATGCGCATTACTCCGCCTCTCGATGCTTTTTCTTCTTCATCCTTGCTGCGCCAAAGGTCAGATCGCGTGACAACCTTGGCCAGTTTTTTAGCTTCAAGAAAATTCGGTCTGTACAGCTGCGACAAGAACTGGCGGCCCGCAATTTAGACACGACGGGGACCAAACCCAGGCTGTTGACTCGCCTGCTCGAGTCATTGGAGTTCACTGCAGTGTGCGAGGACTTGTCCACCCAGGCGGCCGAGCAGAACCTACCCCAGGCAACCGCTGCTCCGTCCCTGAGGGACATAATCCGGGAGGAGGTCCGTGCTGCGCTTGGAAATCAGGCCGCAGCTCCAGTCCCGCCGGCAGCTCACGCAGCGGCACTCCCACGGCAAGCACCAGCAACTTCGCATGACGCTCTGCCTGCTCCGCATTTGGCGGCCGCCATCTCACCGCCAATGAACCCCGCAGGTAAGAGAACGATTAAGCCAACCGTGCCGAAAGCCATTCACGATAAAGTAGTAACTGGCCAATTTGTTGAATTGGGCTCAATGTTGCCTAGCCCGTCCCAAGGGGACACTAGCCGCAGCATTCTCCAGATCGACCACGACAGCTCGCACGACGCAGTTTTTTTTTTTTTTTTTTTTTTTTTTTTTTTTTTTTTTTTTACAAAGACCACTTAATGCCAAACATGAGATGCAGCTAGGGGAAGCACGCACAACCTGAATCGTGGCAGTGGTGGTGAGGTTTAGGGAGCTCCGCCGACCTAGGGTCTCGACATCATAGCCACCCAGACGCACCAAGAGTGGGTGGGGAGGGAGAGCGAGAGAGAGAGAGAGAGAGAGAGAGAGAGAGAGAGAGAGAGAGAGAGAGAGAGAGAGAGAGAGAGAGAGAGAGAGAAAGAGAGAGAGAGAGAGAGAGAGAGAGAGAGAGAGAGAGTGGTCCTGGCACCGGCCAACAGGCCCTCCAGGAATGTCGAGAACATCCACACCTGGCTCGATGCCTGGACAACCTACTGCGCGATTTACGCTACAGCACACCCCTCCAGGGCCCAGAGCTGCTTGCGTACCAGCAGATTATCCTGAAGATAGCCCGGAAATTTCGATTTGAGGCCTTACAGGAGTATGACTGATCATTCCGCTCACTCCTGGCCACGGACACAACCATGCGATGGGACGCTATAGACCAGGACCTATAAACAACTTTATTTGACGCGCGGGCATTTCGTCCCTTTCGGCCCACCAGCAGCAATGGTGCTCGTTCCTTTCGGCCCAACAGCAGCAACGACGCTCGTTTCTTTGGCAACGATACGGTCAACAAAGAAGTATGCCCCTCTTCAATCAAGGAAAGTGCGTCCGCTCCACCTGCCGCTTCGCCCACAGCTGCCTATCTTCCGGCCGCCTTGGTCATGGCCAATCCATATGCTCTGCTGGCCAACCCCGCAAAAAGCTCACACTCGCCTTGGTCCCCTGTAAATATTCCCCTGCGGCTTGAAGAGCTATCCCAGCACCCCGATAACGATTTTGTGCATTCTCTTTGTCTCGACATGCGCTTTAGGGCCCACATTGGCTATCATGGTAATAGATCCCGCCTCGTCGCCCCTAATCTCCCTTCTGCACTGCTCAACCCTGCCGGTGTCTCTGCTTACCTTCAGTCTGAATGCACAAGTGGCCACATGGCCGAGCCTTATTCCCAACCCCCGTCTCCTAATATCCGATGTTCTGGCGTTGGCATCGTGCCCAAGAAGACTGGGGGCGTACGCCTCTTCATGCATTTATCTGCCCCTAGCGGCTCTAGCATTAACGATGGCGTTGACCCTGACGAGTTCTCCCTGCATTACGTTGCGGTAGATGATGCAATACGCTGCATTTTCGGGCACGGCCCCGGAGCTCTCTTCTCTAAGGTTGACCTGAAGCACGCCTTCCGGCTCTGCCCTGTTTCCCCTGACAACTGGCACCTACTTGGCATTTTTTGGGAAGGTTCGTACTATGTCGATAAGGTACTACCATTTGGCCTCAGATTCTCCCCATTTCTGTTCAACAGACTTGCCGGTGCTGTGGCATGGATTGCAGTTAATAATTACGATATTGTTGATTTGCTGCATTACCTAGATGATTTCTTTCACGTCCAGCCGTCCAACTCCGCATCTATGCTCAAATTCAAGACACTGGTGACTGTATTTGACATGCTGAACATCCCATTGGCCGTCGGAGGGGACAAAGTGTGCCCGCCGTCAACTTCAATACAATTCCTGGGCATCGAGCTCGACACAGCCGCCTGGGAGCTGCGCCTCCCGGCAGCAAAACTGTCACTCGTCGCGTGGCTGTCGAAGAAGATGTGCACCAAGAGGGAACTGCTGTCCATGGCCGGTAACCTGTCTTTCGCAGCCAAAGTCATTCCAGCGGGTCGCACGTTCTGCAGACGCCTGTTCGACAGCGCAACAACGCTCCCTAGCCTAGATGCACTGGTAGCCTTACTTTCGGAGGCAAAGCTTGACATCCTGCGGTGGGATGCTTGCATCAGCCAATGGAATGGTCGGAAGCCCCTCATCAAGCCGTCCTGGAGCATAGCCGAACACATGGGGCTGTACACCGACGCTTCAGGTCGACACGGTTTCGGTCTGGTTTTCGGCTGCAAGTGGTCCTATGGCACATGGTCTCCTAACCAAGCTGAGCACACGATCGAATGGAAAGAATTGTACGCCGTGATGTTGGCCCTCTGTACCTGGGCGCACACGTTGGAGGACGAGTGCTACTCTACAGTGACAACGAAGCAATCTGCTACATCTGGAGCTCTGGCACGTCCCCAAATAGAGCGGTCATGGACCTCGTCAGGGCCGGCTTATTGAAAGCCGCCCAGCATAACATTGTCCTCCTGCTGCGCCACATCGCCGGACACTGCAATGATCTTGCTGATTCTCTCTCCCTTCTGCAGGTAGGTGCTTCCGGACCCTCAACCCAACTGCCGACGCAGCGCCTACACCACCAGCGCAGTCCACCCTCCATGAGTGGATGAGGCCGCCATGGAGCTCATCCGTCACGGCCTGGCAGACAGCCCCAGCGCGACGTTCACTTCAGTGCAGCGTTCCTGGTGACGGAGCCCAGCCTGATTAACTTTCTGAATTGGAAATTCTCGTTCGGCTCGTCTGGCTCGTCTCTGAAACTCACCACCCAGGCGCTGAGAAATCATCACGTCCT